AGGTGCAGGGAACACTGACCAACTACAAAGGGTTCCCTTTATAGGCTGGTCGTTCAAGCATGTATTATCAAGTACTTTCTTGCATGCTCGCATACAGTCGCAAGTACGTTCATTTTGTTAACAGTGACCACGCCCGGTTTGCATTTGATTAAGAATTTTCCATTGTGCATAGGCTGCATCTCTTTGTCACCATTGATTACAGTCTGGCACAAGCCATTATTTTCCAGGTCATGGCAAATTTCGTTTTGGTGTCCTTTAGGGACCAGTTGTGTTTGCGTTCCTTTTGTTCTCATTTCAAAATGAAGCTGTGTGGTAGCAGAATCTTGCCGCCACTTTGAATAATTATACTCAATCAACAACTATAAGTATGGGTAATAACATGATTTTGAGTCCAATTTAGTGTTCACAAGCACAAGTAAATTTTTCAAAGACGACAAATTTTGCACGAGCCCATAGTCTTTGAAAAATTTACATGTAATGTGCAATACGTACGATAATGTGCGTGAAAAAAAATCACAGAAAGTCAAGACAGAGGTAATTTTGAAAGCGTGCGCGCGCTATTTGTAATTTACACTCGTGTCACAACTTTGCACTCGTGTTACACGAGAATGCACTCGTTTTCAGCCAATCAGAAGCGCGTAATTTTTTCATGTACATTTATGTTATAGTTGTTAACTCAAATGAAGTCGGCTTTCTAGGAAATTGTCTCAATCCAGGACTGACTTGGTGTGATTTTTCACAGCTGATCAGCAAATTTTATTACAACTGAACGATGGATCACATCAGAAAGGAAATGATTGTGATACTTGCACTACCCCATTGCGACTTCAAGACCTCACCACCAGCAGTGAAAATGGTATTAGAAGTTGTAAACCATAAAGATAAAACAATTACATACGCAATAACAATAATAATATTTCTGTTATTCATATTTGTAAAAATTATAAGCTATGGGTTTGTTACGGTGGCCCACAGATGTCACGGCAAAAGAAATAACCTCGCAGCAAAAGGAAGAACCTCACGGCAAAGAGAAAAAGGCCCACGGCAAAAAGAAAAAACCCAACGGCTAAAGAAAAAACCTCCCAGCTCCCGCGCTCTCTTTTATGCCGTGAGGACATTGTTATTTCTTTTGCCGTGAGGTTCTTCCTTTTGCTGCGGGGTTATTTCTTTTGCCGTAACAATTTTTAGGCCACCTTAGTTTGTCCTCAGACACAGCACAACAGTTTAATGAACACTTAGTAAGAATCAGTTGTATTTTAATGAGATTATTGTAGAACAGTACCAACCGGAGAACGCTCTTTATCAACAATTATATTTATGATAAAACTTCAATTTTATCCAACAGTTTCCCAGAATATTGAACAGATGAAGAGAGAGGCACAGGTAAGTAATCACTTGAGTGAGTGAGCATGTTTTTCGTTCTCGCCGGAATTCTTGGTAAGGAGTGTACCTGACCCTATTTTCCGCGAAAACACGCTTTTTTCCGCAACCGTTTCAGACCTGCTAATCTGAAAATCCATACCCGTTTTCAGACCTAACCTCTGAAAGTTGTGTGCACTTTGTGTTTTGAATCCAATTCGAGAAGTGCTTGCATTCACCTTAAAAAAAAGGAAGCAGCCCGAAAGGATGATTTTAGTTTCCTCTTCTCTTGTTATTCATTTGGAGTCGAATGCCTATGCGCCTTCTTGGTTCCTTAAAAAATAAATTGTGCGAAAATATTTGCCCCTGACACATAATTTTGTCCCCGAAACAAGTCTTACAAATCAAAATGATTGCAGAAACAAAATGAGACATAAAGACTTGTTCTATACGCTGTTAGTTAACAAGAATCGGTTCGTGAAGCCCCTTTTCAGCGATTTTGTCAACTTTAGTGTTCCACACTGTAAAATGAAAAGAGCCAAATTGACCCCAAAAGCCAAATTGGCCCCAATTTCTCGAGGGCCAGTTTGGCCCATCAAGGTTCGTTTTGAACTATTTGAGCCAAAACGGGCGGGACAGGTACCATTTCGACCCCTCCAAAATCTGAATTGGCCCTTATGAACTCTACTTTGGAACCTTTTTTCAATTTGGCCCTTCCAAGAGCCAAGTAGGATTGGCCAATTTGGCCCCAACGAGGTGCAATTTTTGAAAAAAAAAAGAAAATATAAAAATAATTTTCTTTTTTCGACCATATTTCGTTCCCTATACTATTCCTTATAACGTGTTCAAATTTTCAACGGTTCCTCTCGTAACTGAACACCGAGTCACACAACGAATTAATCGTTGGCTTTTTCTCGAGACGTGAGCGTGGGCTTAGTCGAACCTAGACCACGTGCGTCGGACACAATAATGAATTATAGCAGCGAATTCATCACTGAAGAGGCTGTTTCTTGGCTACAGTCGCATGGAATGAGACTTAAGAAAGGAAAGGTAGGCAAAAGAAATTTCTTAACAACGCATTTTCCTGCAACTTTACATTCACAAACTTGACCGCTCCAATGATCTTTGTTCGTATCTTATCTTGCAGAAAAAGACGGTTGCGATGGCCAAGATCTCCTTGCCATCGCCCAAGATCTCCTTGCCATCGCCCAAGATGCAGACGTACCAAGGCACTACATCCCTATTATAAAAGAGCGTCTAAAGCTCAAGAAATTGATTGCAGTGAACGCTGAACCTAGAGATGACACGAGTTCTTCGTCGGTACGATAATTAATTTTCCCACCAGAGAATTTGACGCATGAATGCTTCGCCTCTTCTCCCGAGTCTTGTTGAGTCTCAGCGGTTTCGCAACTAAAGTCATGTGATCAAATTTTGGCGCCGAGAGATAGAGACAGTTACAGTTCGAATACTGCATTTGCACAAGGTGGATTTAACTTATTTCAAGATTCTCTGATTTTAGGATCTCTCACTCTGAATTCTTAATCTTTTTCTTGAAAAGATGAACTGATATTTTTATGTCTATGTCTTTGTTTGCATCCACTTAAGCTGATTTTTTGGCTCTCACTCTTTCAGCGTGCAGAATCAAGTCCTTCGAGTAAGACCGTTCAAACGTCGATAGATGATTCATATAACATCAGCGATTATGAAAATTTAAAGGTGACATTGGCACCGAAAGAAAAGGGTAAATCGCCCAAGGATCTCTGTTTTACGGACGAGGCGACAGAACTGAGCACTGTCTAAGTAAGTTCTTGTATATTAAACTTAGCAGGATGGTGAAGAGTACATTATCGATTACTTTCTTTCGATTATATCCTAAAGGAAAACATACAAGGTGCCAGTTGGTCAGTTAAAGATGACAAATCTCGGGGATTGCACCTACAAAAATGGCGAGATTTGCTTTATTTTTATTGAAATATATTAGATATGTATTTACTTGCACCATGCATAAAACAAAGTAAACCCAATTTTTAAATCTGGTAAATTAAAAAATTAGTGAATTGATAGGATGTTATCAGACAGTTTAATTTTTTTGAAAACAAATATTTACCTACAGGTTCCTCCTGAATGGCTTTCAAAATTCCAACTACCATCGAGGGTAAGAAACTTTTCTTTGTTTTGTTTTTTAAGTCTACAAGCAATCCTTATTTATTCATGAATACTGAACTAAAACTGAAGTGCATAGAGGTATGATTTCTTTTCTTGATAAGTACATATACAGTTTGGTGAAAATACATCATTGATGATCACCATTATTGTGTTTTTACTTCTTATGCACAGTTTGCTTACAAATATTTTGCAACTTTGTAGTTGCAAAAATTTACTGTTCTCCAACAACAAATTAATTTGCTCATTTGTTTGTTTTTTTGTACAGTTCTCTGCCTCAGTAGAGTTGGATACCCAGAAGGGATATCTCATCAGCAGCCTAAAGTACTCTGAGCAACAGTGGATTGCAAAAAAAAAATTATTGCAGAGTATCCTTGTATGGTTAGCAGGATACTAGACTAAGTTGACTTGGAAACTGAATGGATTGGTATGGTCTAAAAATCTATTGCTTCACCTCTTCTGCTTGCAGTGAAGAGAGACAATTTTGTGGTGCTGAATCTCTTGCCTTAAACTAAAAAATTGCAAAATAATCACAAATTTTAATTGTTGGAGATCTTCAATACATCAATCACCTGAATATAGTAACAGAAGGAAGTGTAATTTTGTCACTTCTCACAAGAAAAGATTCTTGATGCTCTCATTGGGTTACTTGGCTCATTTATATTTTCTTACAATTGGTCAAAGGCAATTTTGACTTTTTTTAGAGCAAGCATTGCTTGAAATTGGGCACAGGCAGACTCTTGTCACTGTTTCCTCTATTTTCAATGACTTGGCAAATGCCTGTGGTAGTACTTGCTGATAGTTTATATTTTGATAATATCTAAAGTAGCAATATGAGTGCATGTATTCTCACATCCACTGGAAGAATACTCTTTGCTGCTCTAAGGCTCTTTGTTTTTCATATGCACAAATCAAACAAGATCTATATTCTTGTGCAGGAACTGGACCATTTGTTGCCTCTGTCTGATTTTGATAATTTTCTGTACTTTAAATCAGTCTTAATTATAAGCTGCTTTACATTACCACATTTGCTAAGTCATTGAAAAGGGAAGCTTTACTCACAAGTGTCTCTTGGGTGTAATTTCTTGCAATGCTTGCACTGTTAAGAAGTATACTGATTTAGGGAAGAGATCTATTTTAGAAAATGGTTGAATTAATGTTAAATATGTATGTATGTTATATTCTTTCACATGATGTTTCAAAGTTTGTCTGTTTTATACCACAATTAAGATTTGTAATAACTGTAAAATCAGGTAGCGTAAAAGGTTTTTACATAAACAATATCTAGAACCTAATAAATGAGTGTTTGAAAGATAAAGTATGTGGTGTATTTTCATTATTTGAATGTAAGGGGGAAAATCAGCATGGAGAGGAAAGAGCCCTCTACTTCTGAAGTGGCCCACATTGGAGCTAAATTGGCTCTTTTTAAAGGGGCCATTTGTGAGAGGGCTGAAATTTGAGGGGGCTGTTTTGGCCCCTATAAATTTCAAAGTGGCCCCTGTATTTTTCAAATTCACCCTTCACATGGTCCAATTTGGCCCCTACAACGGGGTCAATTCAGCCCCAAAATTGGTGCCAAAAACAGCCCCATTTCAATGGGGCCAAATTGATCCTAAGCGAGTGCCAAACTGGACTCACTCGTTTTGGCCCCATTTTTGGGGCCAAATCAACTCTTTTAATTTTACAGTGCAGCGTTTAAACGTATGTTAATCACGTTAAATTACTTTTCTTCTCTATTTTTTTTATTTCAGAACGATCTTGTCATGAAAAAATATCGGCCTTGGAATTCGACTGCTTGTATCAAGCAAGGCAGAGGAAAACCAATTCAATATGTCGTCAAGCATCACCTTATCGTGGCCGAGCGTTACAAAACACTCTTCTGTTTCGTTCCTAAAGTAGCATGTAGCAACTGGAAACGAATTTTTCACGTTTTAGGTGGACATTTCAACTCAACTGAAGATATCTCGCACGACACCTCGCACGAATCAGGAAAGTTACGCTTTTTGAGACATTATTCAGATGCTATAAAAGTAAATAACATGTTGAAAACATACAAAAAGATTGCATTTGTTCGCGAACCTATGGAGCGATTTCTGTCGGCCTACCGGAGTAAATTTGCACCCGTTGATCCCCCTAGAAGGGGATTTTACTACAACATCGGCCGGAACATCATCAAGAGGATGCGGAAGAATTCTACAGGGTTAACTCCAGATTATCCCACATTTAAGGAATTCGCAAATTTCGCGATTTCTACGCCTGTTAGCTCTCATGATGAACACTGGGATCGTCAGCATAATTTATGCGCTCCGTGTGATATGAATTATGACTTTGTCGGTACATATGATAATATCAAAGCAGATGCTGACGCCGCTATTATGTTGATGGGAGCTGATAAAGAGGTTACATTCCCAAATGTCGAAGCTGCACCCGAAGGAGAAGGATCACAAACGAAGATGAAGACTTTCTATTCGCAAATATCGCAGGAAGAATTCACACGACTGCAGAATATATACGCGCAAGACTATGAAATTTTTGGATTCAAAAAGCCCAGTTATCAAGAAATAGTGAGTTCTTGAACTGCTTCAGCAAGAAGGAAAATGGGGGCACCGCAGGAAAAGATAACTTGACATTAATTAACATGGCGAAAAACTGTGAAAAGCGCACAGTCTTTAAGCTATGTCTACCTCTTAGATTTGATGGGATTATAAAATTTGCTAACTGCTGAGTTGACAAGCAATTTATTATTCTAGATTTGATGATGTTGTCTACAGCCAGATTTGTTACGATAAATAGTAGAGTGGAAATTTTTCATACAACATTTTCTCTATTTATGAATGTTTGTAAATTTACATTTGTAAATTTACTAATACCACAAGAGTATCACTTTGTCTTCACTTTTACGCTGCACGTACAACAAAAGCGCATTAAATATACTTGTTTCGTACAGGAAACAGGGGGGAGGGGGGGGGAGTTTATTGAGCTATGACGAAATGGATACTTGTCCGGCCAAAAATGAGTTATGTCCAAGTAAAATTATATTTGACCGCACAACTAGACAGACGCGCCCAATTTCTTCTACCATAAACTTCTTATGGTGTTAGTTTTAGGAATTGATATTTACATGATTCTTTATGAGCACAATTGCTCAGGTGATTACAGATGCCCACGCTCTGATTGGTCAAAAATTACCCCATATCTTGCCGTAATCACTCCCTGCGAAGTGATAATCATAATGAAGCCCTGATTTTCAAATGGCCATCCTGTGAGTTAAAAGAAGCAAATCAAACGGAAGAAAGAGCAGCTTCTCTGATAATCACCCGAACAGTTATGCTAAGAAAGAAAATAATCCCCTCAGGCTAATATTATGGATTGACACCCACGAATTTTTGTATCGGGGACTATTTGACAACACTCGCTCGGCCTTAAGCGAATAATTGTTAAATGAATATTTGTCTCCATGTCGCCATCCTCTGCTTAATGTTTTACTGATATATTATGGGAGGAAAATAGCTGTCAGTGGTTAATCATGCTTGACTCTACTTACTTGTTTCATGCATTTAAGTTCAACGATGCGACTTACAGACAATTTTCTTCTTCCTTTTCACAGATGAAATGACTTTTCTTCCTTTAATTCAATGCCTTAATAATACTCTTTTACATCGTATAGATAATAAAAACGTTCGTAAACGATAGGGCTTTTTTCATATTTAGTCCTCCTCAAACATATTTTCTTTTCAGTTTAAAAATCTGTTTCTATCATCTTCCAAGATGGTAAAAATTTATGACTGCAGTTGTACAAAAAATTTGACATGGGGCGTTACGGATATCAGGACAAATGCGAATGCGAAAACGTACCAATGAAGCTTCTTTTCACCTACTGAATAACAGGGATTCGTAAAAGAGGAAATCAAACACTTCCTGATCGCAAATGTAATACGAACGTGTCGATAACACGTGACTGCGGTGTACTTCACGCCAAATCAACGCTGGTGCAAGTTCACTGTTTTACTGTTGCTGGAAAATCTCGTGCTCTTGAGCAGTCCACATCAAAATGATCATTACGTAACGGGCGTATGGTGGTATTTTCTTCGTAATTTTCCAACAATTTACCTCATTAGTCTTTAGTACCAAAGTATTTTTCAACTCAATACTCAAAAGTATTTTTTACTCCATACTCCCAGAGTTCTTGCAGACGGTTTGAAGAGTTTGCACCCATTCCATTCTGTCTTCCTCGGACGCTGCTCGGAAAGTGTATTTGATTCCTTTCCTTGTTCGTAAAAGAAATGTATACTGGGCTGTCTGTTTTCTTCTCCCTGAGATAAATAAAATGAGAATATTCTCGTTTACTTGAGTCACAAGAGTAGACGGGACGGCCTTGCTAGAAAACCATCTTGTAAGAACAGCTACGGTTTTTCTGACAGACCGACTTAAACAAGCGACAAACGGATCATCTGACAGACCAACTGCGGAGCAAATGACGAGCGGAAGGACTGATAGCCTGACTGACAGACAGTTTGCCAGCCCAACTAAAAGACAAACCGACGGACGGACAAACCCACCAATAAAATTGAGCAATAAGCAGGAAAACAGACTTATAGACACTGACTGATAAACTAACCAACAGACGTACCAACTGGTGAAGCAAATGACAAATGAAAGACCGATAGACAGACTGACAGACCAAATGACAGAGCAACTGGCAGACATTAGCACTCACTGGCAAACCGAACGACACACTGACCCACTGACAGGCTGTCGGACTGACAGATCGACTGACAGAACGGACAGACTACCGACAGAGGGCTCCAGTGGACATCCGCGTATAATCAAATGTCTCAATTAGTTTCTTTCTCCTGATTTTTGAGTGTTCACTCTCACTCGCAAAATATATCTAACATCTGCCTTATCGTCTTGCAATACAATCGCTCATTTTTTCCATCGTTTCCTGGAAGGCACAAAGTGCTCAAAAGTTATAATAACATAGCGCAAAAATCGCGTTATTTTACTTATCTTTCGCGAGAAGAACACGATGCTTTTTTACAAACTCAACACATCTAAAGCACACCCCCCCCCCACTTCACCTCTACCCTCCCCCTCACCCTGAGTACGTATGTCAAAATTCAGTTAGAGATGTTACCATTTTCACTGTCAGTTCCGGAAAATTCTTCGTCGTTTTTAAGAGTCTTTACTTCAATGTCCTGCAACTCGATGTGTCCAACTGGCGCGGATGCCTAGGGGAAAAAAATCAACAATTTAACTGCGTAATTGAAAAGGGACTTCAGAATACAAAGAAAAGATGGTAAATGGACAGATACATCCAAGCTAAAGTTTTACCTTGGAAGGCCGACAGTAAAATAAGATAGTTGGCTCTGTACAAAGGATAAACTTTCTTGTTTTCCAGTTGTGTCGCACATGGCCCTGTGGGTTATATTTAGAGCATTATCAATTGCGCATCAAAACTAATGCATGATTGCATTGGCTCTGTTTCACAACGCTCCCTGATTGGTCAAGAAAGTTCGCGTCACTCTCTCTGCCAATCAGATGCAAAACTTCAAGTAGCTTCAGACGTTTTCCCGCGCCTTAGGTAGTTTACTTGTTCTATTTTGAATTCCCCTTGGCTATTTTAGCAGAGCGCACGTGAGCGCACGTGAGCGTACATGAGCGCAAGTGAGCGCACGTGAGCACAACTCGATGGAAAGACGTAAAAGGGAAACTGAACTGATACCAACGGCCGATGAAAACAAAAACGTCATTTAGGACTCTCTTACTAAATTCCCCCCGCATTTCATCAGGCTTTCCCCAACAATAATATAATAATATTAAAAAAAGATGTACCATTGATTCTAAACTGTGTAGTACCAAAAAATGTTCTACTTTGGTGCAAACAAACACTTAAAAAGTCTCGTTTCATTTCCAAGTAACCTTAGGAGAAGATTATCGATATCAGTATCGACCTTTTTCTGTAGGAAGCCTTGCTTGACAATATTTCCTTTGATAGCTCCACACTGGGAGAGAAAGAAAAAGGAACAGTGATAAATGATTGTAATGGTTTACCAACTAATTATAAAACAACATGATAACAACAGAGTCAAAACATACCTGATCTCGTGGAATTTCATCGTCAGAATCACTGGAGTCATCCGACCATTCTAACTCTAAACCTTCATTGGCACTGAATCTCAGAGCAGACTGAAAAATACAAGGTGACCACAAGTCTGGACTGAGAAGGCCATAACTGTTGATGCTTACCCCTGATTTTTGAGGCACTACGCAGCTACTATTACATGTTGCCACTATCCCCACCTCCCACCTGGATTGGTTGCCAGTCTATTGTACACTAAATGTGGGAGGTCGCTCTACCCCACCCCCCCCCCCTTCCTGAACATTTCATCAATTTCTCAGGCAGTTCACTGTTGTTGGTGTGTACTCTTGAGGTGAGCAGGGAGGAGGGGGGTGTGAGAGGGGCTCTGCAAGAGTTTTATGTCTTGCCCAACAATGTAACACAATAACCCTATCAGGGATTAAGCCTGGATAATAAGATTCAAGTTTCCGCATCCTAACCACACAGCCACTGTTATCTTCCATGGAAAAGGCAAGAAATGAAGGGAGCCTTCCAGGTGAGAGTAACGTAAGACGAGTTTACATACATGTACCTTGAGGTACTAGATACCGCTTTCAGTGAGACACTAGTACTTATATAACTCTAACTCAACAGAAGAGACAGCTTATATAACAACTTCAATGCTTTCACCCTTAAAACCCAAAGAGCAACCAGCATCTAATTTTTTCTCACACTTATACTGCTGAATCTTTCATTGAGACCATGAGAGTAAAAAAAAAAAATGATTGCCATCCTAAGAAGTTTTGAATTTTTAAGAAACTCTCCATGTCAGTACCAAAGGAAATTTGTAGAGAGGAGTGTGGGAAATATGGATACTGATGAAAAGGGTTTAATGAATTACCTATCTCTTCTGAAATGCAAATTACATAGTTACATTTTACATGAACAGTGCCAACCACTGAAATTATCTTCTAATCAAAATTACTTTAATTCAAGAGCATGAGGCATGTTACTTACAAATCTGTAAAGAGCATCTGAACTATCCAGAAATGTGTCACAGTTTTCAAATTGTGTTTTTCTTCTAAATGATGTTTTACTTGTTATTCCAACTGGCTGGAGATGGGCATCCTCCAACAGCACAGATGCTAAGGCAATACCACTTTCACGACTTGACACAAAGGACCATTTAAGAAGCCAGTCAACCATTTGAATCCCTGTATTGTAAACAGCATGTGGTTCTCAAATGCTCATTTAACTACTCTGACTGAACAATTCAGCACAATACTTTTGTTTAGATTAGACACTTTACTTACCCATTATTCTTTATTCATCATGTCAAAAATTGAGATGTGCAACATTGATGACAAAATATGATGGCAAAACTAAAGTGTTTCATGATTTAAAGTTGATTTTGCCAATGAATTAACCTTTTAACTAAGATCTGTTTGTTAATTCTCCTTTTTAGCTCCTTCACATTGCTTTGGAAATAAGTTGTGAGAATTTGGTGTTACATAAATATAAAAAACTTCTACTCTACAAATTTGCATATTCTCATCACTTATTTTCTAGATAATGTATAGATGTTATTGGGAGAAAGTACATTTTAATCACTTCTGTAAGTTTAAGGCAAATAGTAATGGTAAATTTGAACTCATTTTCAGGATTCTCACCAGTAAAGCAGATTTTGTGAGTTTTATTTTCCTTGTGGCACAAATGACTGTTGAGAGATATTCCTGCATCTGCATCTTGCATTGCTTCCACCATGTCCCTAAATTTGTTAATGTTGTAATTGTATTCAGTGTCTGGTATCAGTTTATAGATGAAGATACCATATATTATAAATGAATTGACTGAGGAACATAACAGCTAGCCTAGTCATTCCATACTAGACTGATAAGCAGCCAAAATTTCCATCAAAACCAAAAATATAGAATAAAAAATTACTTCTGTGATCTGATTTAAACCTTATTTGTGTTGGGGTGAATTGTACAGCTGTCCTTGGGTAGGGACTTCTTGGAACCTCCTCTGTATCAGTGTGCTGTAAAAACATAAGATCAAATATCATTTTATTAACCCTTAAACTCCTAGGAGTGACCAAGACAGAATTTCTCCTTACAATATCCAGCAGATGAGTGATGCGAATGAAGATAAATATCAATTAGGGGATTATAAATTGACCCAATACCAAATTCTCCAAACTAACATCATAAGAACTGTATAGCAGACAGTAAGGAGAATTACCAATGAGATCTTGGGAGTGAAAGAGTTTAAGAGGCTTTGAGACATGATCTCCTGACTCATTAACTCACTTATCCTACCAGTTTTTATTTCTGTTGAGATACAACAACCTGATTCTTCTAGCAATCATAAAGATAAACACAGGTCAAAGGTAGGTATTTTAAAGAAATGATCCTTGCAAGCACAGAAAGCTGTGATAATAAAGAATTGCAGAAAAGAAGTACAAAAAAGTCACAACAAAAAAAAAAAATATCAAATCTTGTAATTAAAACTGGGTAATGGGTACCAACATGGTGACTACAACACTGTGGCTTGCAGCAGTTATTAAAAAGACCACCACATGATGATGATATGTAAACATTATTTCTCTCAAGCTCAGCAATACCTTATATTTAATATCTAATCGTCTGACTGCATTTGCGATTGCTGTGGTCCACTCTTCACGTTCCACTTCATTTGCTGCCTGAAGTAAGTACTCTCTATTCTCTTTAGTTGTTATCCTAAACACTCCCTGAAACACACAACATATTATTGAATTTATCCAACCCCAGAGACATTTTTGTCAATCACTCGTTTGATTATGTGCCTATTATTTCTAAGCTCCAAGATTCCACATATGGGCAACCCACAGAAATTTAACTACCATCCATGTCTGGGGTTGGGAATTTGAACCTTGCTTGGCTAGGGTGGGGAATTTGAAACTTGCTTGGCTGGGGTGGGGAATTTGAACCTTGCTTGGCTGGGGTGGGGAATTTGAACCTTGCTTGGCTGGGGTGGGGAATTTGAACAGAACTGTGAAGTCTTCCCAGCAGAGTGGGAGTGTTGTATCTTTAAATATGGAGTTTTTTCAGGTAAATAGTTTAATTTGACGAACTAACAGATCAGGAGAAATGGTCTACAAGATTTAGGTCTTATAGCTTGGTTGATGTGTACAAAGTCACAATCACTGATTTTGCCTTTCACAAAAAAATTGGATGGGGTATTTGAACACAATTTTTGCCCTGAGGGATGGGAATTTGAACAAACTTATTTTCAAATGCTGTGGGATTTCCTAAGGGTAGGTTGAAGCCTAAAATTTATTGATGCATTACGGACCCAATTGGAGTCTATTCAGTCCTATTGCCATTAATAATTGCATATTAAAAGATTAAACATCATGGTGAAATACCAAAGATATCTTTGATGACACTACCTCCTTTTTGGTGTACTCTGTGCAGGGCGAGACTAAAAAGCAGCCTCTCAGTGGAATCTCTCCAGCATTATACATTATCTAAATAAAAAAAAACATAAAATAAAATTAGTTAGGGGATAAATAAAAATAAATTCAACTCTGAGAGATGCATAATTCTGAGGGACTCCTGCAAATGCACCATTAAGACCCATGTTTTATCTGAGCCCCCCACACCCCCCCTCCCTCCCTCTAATATGTCCCCAACTCTTCCCCCATTACCTTCTACTGACAGGACTGGATGCACTGGAAATTGATTCAGAAGGAGTAAATGGGAAAAGTGCAGCATGGTTGCACAGCATCATACTCCATTATGCATAGAGTTCTTAGATACATTAAACAATGTTGAGAATGGTAGATCATCTTTAAGACTTGGTAAAGTTAGAATAAAATAAAATTAGATTAACGGCTCGATTGTCTTGTATACCCTTCGCCTCACAGAGAGAAATGAATGCTGCATAGAAAGTCCCATTTGCAGACAATGATAGTGTTAATGCTTTTTGCCATTATTACCAACAAAGAAATCTCAAGAAAAGTTTTGCAATCAGCTTTTACAACTAATTATGTTCATCATGATCGACGACTTCAATTAAAACATCTCTAAAGATAACCTGATTTTTTTTCTTGAAGTACACCAACATTTCTTCATGCAAAACAAACCATCTTGTCTTCCAATTGTGACGAACATGTCCCTTGAAAAAGAACAAAAGATATGATAATACATGTCGTTAAAGACGACAGTCTCAACTGAGTAAACACAAAACAAGCTTTGCAAACCCAACATGGGGTGCGAATTAACAAACATTTCAAACAGTGAGCAACAGTGTAAAAACCACTCATCGATTACACTTTTGAAATACTATCTATCGTCCTTGAATTTAGATTCAAAATAAGAAAATATACGATCTTTTTATACGTCTCTTTTAAAGTTCTTCCGGTGCTGATATCTGCGGCTAGAAATATCTTATTGCGTTAACTGACATCCCGATCAAAGTTATTTTCTTGTTTCTTTGTTTAGTCTTTGTTTTTTTTTTGTAAGCGGAGTTTGATATGATTTATTTGGTAGCATGCGTACCTTTTTCACAAGAAAACCCTCCTTCAATTTCCTTGGTTCCTTGGAATCCATGTTAGGTTTCCGCCGCGTTCAACTCCATAGCGTCGCAATAATGTCTACAATTATTTCCGAGTAGACACTGATCTTTGGAAGATGTCGTGACGAGCGTGATACTCGCGACGATCAGAATGAGGTCATTCACCTCCGACCACAGTATCAGCTTTCTCCCTAGCACTGACCACATCAACTGAGAAAACGCTGAAAACTGAAACCTCCGTTCAGATCTGCCTCTTGAGTTACGTGAAATCTGAGGAGTACGGTGGCCCACAACTGTCACGCCAATATCAAATTTGAAACGACAAAATCAAATTACTTATTGCAAAAACCAAACAACCACGGTAAAAACAAAACCAATTACGACAATTCAAAAGTCACCACGGCAATAGCAAATCGGTCACAGCAAAAACAAATTCATCATGGCAAAAACTACAGTGGCCATGTAGCGAGTCACAAAACGTGACAGGCGCGTAAAATCTGCCTGAACTCTTGGAGTTCTTTATCCTGCTTTGTGACCAGGCTTCCAACATGGCGGACAAAAGCAATAGAAAGTGAGCCACGCTTTCCGTGGCTGTAAAAGTCTCCTACGATGGCTAGCGATAAAGCAAAAGCTCCTATGAAGAGAACTGTGATTGTGTTGGATCACAGTTCCAAATTTCTGACGTTGTCTAAGCAGCATATTGACTTTGATGGTGGAGGGAAAAAAAGCAAGAGCAAAGGTTCCAGCTCGACTTCTTCACCTGTTTTCAAGAGCTCTTGGACATGCAGTATCGAAGCGGCAGTCGAGTACTGTAGAATTGTGTACGATATATTCCCAAATGAGTATCTGGTAAGTCTGGTCACATTTTGTATTTCGTGCTATATTGATTTGTGTGTAAATAATTTTCCTCGTCTCGTAATTCACGCTAGATAGGTTGGAAAACAAGTCTTTCCTTTTTGGAAAGATATCCGTATAACCCCACACTATTCTTAAACAGAACCGTAGCCCCAAATGTAATCCTTTGTTTTTTCGCCATTGTTTTCCAGATCCAATAACTGTATGCATAATGAAGTATGGGGCTGTGTGGGAATCTTGCCCTTTTTTTTAATAGTATTATTCAGTCGCAGTTGTTTTGAGCGGCGAGAAGATATGTACTGGTGAGGAGGGGAAGATGAAGGGTGGGGCTAAGAAGGGATAGAGGTACTGAATTTTTTAACGCTCTCCGTAAGAAATAAGAGCTGACATCTTACTGTAAGAAAACCCAGTCTGCAGAGTGTGGGGGAACTCGACGAGATCTTGTACATGCAAAGGCAATTTTGCCTGAAGAAATGTAGAGTAAGAAAGAAAAGGACTTTAAATTAAAAGCAAAAAAACAAGAAGAAGAAATTGGTCTTTTTCAATAATATTTTGTATTCTTTTTTTAAGGTCAAGGTAGTTGTTTCTGATGATGATGCCCATGTCATGAACTCTTGGTCTCATGAACAGCAGTGTGTTCCACAAGTAAGGATAACATCAAATTACATTTATAAGCTCAGTCCACTTGTATCTGAGGTTCAAATTCTTGTTGGCAGATAGACTCTGTCACTGACTGGATAGACTGTGCAGATTTTTTCTCAGCTTAAACCAGAAATAACACCAAAAACTAGGGCTTATTCTTGTTTCTGTAGGTAGACTCAAGCCTGTACTTAGTGGTCAACACACAAATTTACTGTGGGTGACTGCTTTATACAGGTTTGACTTTAATTCATTCTAATTCCCTTATGTTTTTCTGGACTTAGGCCATTGACAATTTCCCTTCTCCACCTCTTCCTGTCCTGGGCTTGCCTTTCAAGTGTGGTCGAGGTGTGACTGCAATTCTTCATCTCAGCCTGAACATCTTGCTGCTAGGTATTGTTTCGGGCATCCTCTTTTTTGTTTGCCCGAGGGATTCTATTTCAAGGGTTACTTAGTAACACTGTCAGTATTTTTCCTCAAGGAGTGGCCGATCCATTTCCTCTTCCTCCAAATGATTTTTATTTGAACAGGTACCTGACCTGATCTTTCCCTTAGTTCCTTGTTAGTTATTTGCCATGAAATTCATTGTTCTTAATGGTATTTGATAGCTATTAAAGTCTTTTGCTGGCCTTGGATCCCCTAAGGAAGATAATGGAGAAAACTGTTCCATGATATATGGACTAACATCAGCTGTCCAATGTCTCTATGAGCCACTACCTCAAAACTCCAAAACGCATCAAACAACTTCTGCTGTTGATACAGGAAGGATTATTTGCTTCACAAACTTGAAAAAGTCAGTCCTGTTTTTGTTATGTCCTAAAAGTGAACTTGTGTCGTAATGTTTAGCTCTCCAAAATTAGCTTTCTTTAATTTGTTAGCGTCAATTTTATTTCAGTGGCTTTGATGTTATTTTTAAATGTAATAATTTGGTTACTAGACTTAACCAATAGTATTTAAATTAAAGTACATGTATCCATTTTATTTTCCTTGTGTTCACCGTTACATCCAAACTTTGGTATGCGTATTCTTCAATCTGTTCATTTTACATCTCTTATTGTACTGTCAAGTAGAAATTGTTTAACAACTGAACACTTCTTAAGTTGATTATTTCTTTTTACTCTAATAACTTTATCTACTGTAAGGAGAAATTACTGATGCTAGTCACTCTTGGGGGTTAAAAGGTTAACCCTTTGACTCCCAAGATCCAAATATCAATTCTCTACACCGTCGGTCAAACATTTCTAATCATTTTAGTTCTGAGAATTTGGTGTTAAATTACAAAGTATCCTCGCATTGAAAATTTTTGTTTTTCTCAGCACCTTTCTTCTTGACAAGATATTCATTCTTGATGAAAAGATTGGTTGCTCCATTCAAGTTGTTTTATGTATTGTGCAGGTGTATTGGAAGATGGATCCTCCAGGATCAGCCAGTTAATATTGTGTTACCATTTCTTTTAGCGAAGGCCATGTCCATGCTCTTGTAGCATGTGTTACTGATATACTAGAACAACAGAACAGTGGAGTGGGTTCAAGTGACAGGTGAGAAATTTAAAGAAATTTCTCCTGAGGTCATTTTTCTTGTGTGTGTTTTGTTTGTTTTGTTTTTTTTTATTGACTTCATTCTTTGTTTCTTTTTTACTTACAATATTTTGTAAGAAAAGTAAAGACTAAAAAACTTAATCTTATTAATAACATTACATTTTCTTGGAACAAAACACATACACTACTGACGTTACTTACAATTAGGCTTAGATAATAACTGGAATAAATTAGTTAAGTTAACTTGACTTCATTCTTTGGACATGTATAAGTATTCTTTTTTATTCTTATTAAATGTCATTAAACGAGAGATGTTCTAGGATTTTTTATTTATGATGTTTTATATCAGTGGGAATATATCGTAGTTTTGATTTGTGATTTCTGGCACTTTTTTGTATTCTCCATACTAAAAGAGAAAAAAGTGACTTCCATCTGGCCCTTTGAACCAATATAAACCATTCTTTTTATACACGTAAGGCATTTAATGGTAGACCTGTTTGTTGGTACAAAGATAGTTTGGAGTGATAGCAATTTTTGTGCAAAAAATCCCCTTTTTAGTGTCCAACCAATCAAGAATGTAGACCTCATTTTAATTCATGTCCCTTTGAGTGGAGACAGTGGAAAGTTTACAGAAAAAGCACCAAAGGTATGAACTTGATAGGATTACTAAAGACATGAGATTTAACCTTCTCATTTCTGTGATCATAAAGCTTAATTCTCCAAGCACATGGCCCTATTATTTACTATTGGCTAGTATTGAGAATTTGGTGTTCTACACCGCATGATAATTTCATTATCATGTGGTGGTTCATTGGTCTGCCTTAGAAGAACCTTTATGAACCTGACCGAATCTGAGCATTTAAGCCTTGTAGAGAGGGAATGCTCGTAATATGATAAATAAATAAATAAATAAATGTACAGTACCAAAGGTGATAATTTGTGCACCAAAATTAGTCTGACTCAATAAAAAAGAAAGGTCACTGTGCTCATTCAATAGCTAATGACCACTGTGCCTCTTTACCTGGTGAATTGATTGAAAAATAATACAGGACATGTCCTAGAGATGTGCACAGGCTCATTGGCCTGATTATGTGATTTTTGTGTGCAGTACAAGGTGCGCAGTGCAATACTGAGGAATCACCTGAAAGGAAAAATTAGTTTGGGGTTGATTTGATGTGATATTTTTTCTTGGCCAAAATACCCCATAGATACCTTCAAAATTTATAAATAGCTTCTTTGTACATTACATTCAAAGTCCTGTTTGGAAATTGAGGACAGCAGAAAAAATATTTTAAATACAATGTCAGTCATAAGTTTTGCTGTAATAAAGATGAAAATATTGTGCACTTTTCCAGGGATCATCTTTGCTGTCAATAACCATCAGCTCCCACAAAGCATCTCAGCTGGTTAGTAAACTCAGCATCATGGCACAGAAGCACTTTCATCTGAAGTCTACAACAGTCACAGGGATACCAATGAAAGTAGGATAATTTTTTTAGTGGTGGACACTGTCCTCTAATATTCTGTTTCTTTTGAGTTCGAAAAGAAATTTTTGGTTTTTGGTGATACCCAGATGCGTAGCAAGGGTTTGTTACAACTATAGACTGAAGGAATTTTTTTGCAAATGAATTTTTTGTTTGTCAGGAAGAGCAGCACTCTGGAAGCTCAGCTAACTATGATGTGGAAATTGTCCATTCCTCTCAAGTGCATATGGAGCAGGCTGTTGCAAGTAAGATTGCCTCCATACCACAACCATTTTTGATGTTTGCCAGTATGCAATTTTAAGTTTTTCCCAGTGTTTGACTGGCAAGCCAGCATGTCTCTCCCAAAATTACATGCTGTACATTACAGACTAATTACTTAAATGATTTTATGAAATTATTATAGACGTGTTTTGTGGTGATGAAACTGCACCAGGGAAAAAGGAAAGTCCTGGAACATCTAAGGATACTGTTCATCTGAAGTGGTGCACACCCAAGACAACATCTGCACCAGGTATGTACCCACTTCCTGCCCTGCCCATTCCCCACCTCCTGTCCTGTCCATGCTACACCTCCTCTGCCTGACTGAAGATATGTGTAGTGGTTCAATTTTTTTCCTTAGTTTAAAACTTTTTAAACAACTATCATTTTTACTTGCCTTTGTCTTTTGCTCGTTGTCATTTCCTGACATAAAGGAAGGTGAAAAAATCAAATTTGTTTCATAGATTTAAAACCAATAAAGGTTATTCCACCACAACATCTGAATTTGATACTCAAAAGGAATCCCTTATAAGTGCATTTCTGATTTCGATTTTCAAGCAGTCCTCCACAGAGAAATCATTCCTTTTCCTTTTTTTGGTGTGTGGCTGTATTTACTGTTATTTTTTACCAGACTTTGTTTTTGTCAGCTTCATTTTCTGTTGTTTCAGAGCTTCAAGCTTGTATTGGTTGTTATAGGATCACCCCAGTAGAGGTAATGTTGAATTTTACATCATGGTAAATGATCTGAAAGTTCCTAAAATTTATTTTGTATTCATTAAAACATTTAAATTGTGTGGTGAAACTTATATTTTCACTGAATATTTATAAACACTTTTTCTCTCTGTGCAGGTCAACAGTAGACCTACAGCATGCCTCATTTCTTTCCTCCTACAAGGTAAACTTAAAAACATAACACGTCAAAGAAAAAATTTCGTGTTTTTAGTATCTTTTCACACAAAAATTTTATCAAATCAGAAACAAATATTATTATGCCTTTGTTTTTTCCAAGCAATATAGACAGTGAGGTAGAGATTTGTTTTAAGGCCAAAAGCAGTGATAAAAATTTCAGAGAGATCTCTCCCTCTCTGAAAAAAAGCCAGGGCCTAAGAAGAGAAAAATTAGTTCACCTTGATTCTTTTTCCTTGGTCCTTAGCCTTTTGATTGGCCTTTTGGTCTTATTTTTTATTTCCTGACAGGTCGACAAGTTATGTTAGAGCAGCCTAAGAAGTCTGGTGGAAAACTGGTGTCCCATATTCTGGCAAGTCATGGAGGTATCAAGGAGCTTTTGCATTAGTTACCTCATCAGCTGGTTTTGGGGGGGGGGGGAAGAGACAGGTATCAATTGCTTGGTGTTTTTCAAGTTAGCAGAGACAAGTGAGAAAGCAGCACAAAGGGCAGATCAACAGAAAAAAATGTCATTTGTTCTGCAGGCTTTTACCTTACATGCTTCTGTTAACCCCTTTTTATACCCCATATCAATATGCATATTCTCCATACAGCTCCTAATACATTTCTTATAGTCCTGATAAGGAGAATTTGTTTGACAATCAGAAGCTTCTTTAGTTCATGATCATGCTCCTTATTCTCATGACCTTAATGTGTGATTCATCAAGGATGCTCTGAGGAGAAATTGGATCCAAGTCTCTTTTAGGAGTTACACCTTTACACCCCAACATCATTATGCATATTCTCCTTACTGTTCTGTATACATTTCCTAAGATGCTGACAAGGAGAATTTGTTTAACAATCAAGAGCTTCTTCAGTTGATGATCGTTACCTTTATTCTCCTGACCCTTATGTGTGATTCAGGGCTGATATTTTAAGGAGAAATTGGATGCTGGTCGTTCTTTGGATTCAAAGAGTTAAAAGGGTTAAGGGTTGAATTCATTAGCAGCAGTCCCATTCAAATTCTTATACTCTTGTTCTTTCAGGTGATATTTTTATACATTGCTTAGCGACGTACCGTACCCCAATGGAAGATCCCCCATCCATTAGTGAAGGGTGTGGCGGCCGAGTAACAGACTACAGAATCAACGTGAGTCTGATTAAATTTAAGATATAAATAAACAAATAAATATAAAGACGTTTTCAGAAACGTTGCAATTTGAACATAATACATTTATACCATTTGTGCGAGGAAACAAAAAGTGTATATGTTTCATATATTTTCTTTTTTTCGAATTGGAACGTTTTTGAAAACAGGTATATATATATGTAAGAAAAGTTGAAAAAGCTTCGAGTTATCGGGAGTGAAAACAAAGGACCGGATGTGGGGGAAAACGGTGTTTAGCGTTTTTTCTATTCACACAGGCTGTATTTAAATCAATTATCTATCATTATTGATAGAGAAGTCAGTACACGGAGTAAATGCATGGCGGAAATCAAGGAGAAAAGATTTTGGTTCGAGTTAGCGCGAGGTTCGAGTTATCGACAGTAGTATACATGGGCTCGTTGGTCAAATTTGTGCACATAGGACTAGTAACGAAAATTGTTTCATTTTAAAAGTTGTTCGTCAAATATGTTTTTTTTAAGGATTTTGGTGAATTCATGAAAGCAAACAGACTTGCGCCTTGTTCATGGAACAAAAAGAAAGGAAAGTCGCCCCTAGATAAAGGTATTTAAGTTTTACAAATGAAGTCAACTGCCATTTTGTGGAAACCGTGGATAACCTACATGTGTCAGTCATTGAAGTAGCTCTGTATGTTAACTTTAAATGGAAAAATATTCTGCAGGTCTGGCAAGACTGGAGCGCTGTACAAGATACTGGCCTATGGTAATCGGTGAAACACTGCTTTGTAACATGATGCAGGTATGGAAGTATTGACAATGTAGTCAACCATTGAGAGTTTTTTTGCTAAAATGCCACAGAGACACCTCTTCAAAACGTGAAAGGGCCATCTCCATTGTGAATGTTTAAAAGTATTCATATATTTTTTTCTGTAGTGGAAGTTAATTCTGTTCATATGTTGCACATTCAAACAGCTTTTAGAACCTCTGCCAACACTTATGGCGAAGGAGACTGTTACAGAAAATGATGTACTTGAATGCAAAAGAGTAAGAACATGGATTTCATTACTTTTATTTCTTACTGGTGAAAAGTAAATAAATAGATAGATAAAAAACGCCTGCACATCAGAGCTAGGATAAGTTTCAGAATTGACTTTCCACGGTTGATTAGAGTTAGCTTGTTCCGGGCGTTTAATTAGTAAAACGGAGTTAAAACAGGAGTAGAGTTAAAGGTTTTTTGACTTGTATTGGAGTGTCTTTTGTGAAGTTTTTTCACACTGAAAGCGAAACTAAATGAAAGGCGCCAAGCTGGATGAAAGATTTACGTTGACTATGCTTAAACAACTGTTTTTGTTTTGGATATATAGGTTATCTACAGAGTTCAAGCCATGGAAAGTAGGAATGATCCGCTACCAGTGTCTATGACTGGAATCAGAGGAAAAGGACCGAAAAGGTAACTTATATAATACCAACCAATTAGAACTGTGATGAACAACGCTTATAACCAATCAGAATTAAGAAAGATACGAGAGATGTCGACCGCGGAAAAAAACTAAGCGGTTTTCATGGGCGGTAAGTTCTGTAACCTCTTGCAAACGTGGGGAAAATACAAATTAACCAATCAGAACAATGATGAACAGTGCAATGAACCAATCAGTACTAGGAAAGATACAATTGGTGTCGGGCCCGGGAAGAATGAAACGACTGTAACGGAATGAAATCTCAATCACATGTGGTAAGCGTAGGAAAATACGTAATAGCAAATCACATCTGTGATTGACGATACGATAAACCAATCGGAAGACAAAAAGTTACAACTGGTGTGAAGCGCAGATATATACAGATTGCGTTAAGGGCGAGAAGTTCCATTTCCTTTGATAGGCGCGGGAAATTATGTTACTAGCGCATGAAAATGTGAACCATAGATTTTATTCCGGGCACATATTATTGCTTTGGGTAATTACGTAAACTTTTCACAAGCAGATTATATGACTGATGTCTTTTGTTTGTTTGTTTGTTTGTTTGTTTGTTTTTACCAGAGAGGAACAGTATCGGCAGATTTGGGCTGAATTGGAGACTTACCTAGAAGCTGCCAGTAGAACATCCAAAATGCATGAAAAGGTGACGACAACATTCCTTCTTCAAAACGCCATGGATCTATTAAACCATTTACTTGATTATCGACGCCAATTTTTTTTTATGCAGAGTAGTGGATACAAAGGCGAAAAGTTTGGCGACTCCTGTAAAAAGCACGTTTTTACGCTTAAGTCTCGTTGCCTAACGACATATCTCACAAGAACTTAGAGATTTAACTAGTCGAATCCCTCTAGTTTCAACCCTTGACCATGTGAATACTTGACTGTTTATAAAGCTCTGATTTCTTCGGAATTGCGTGTCCAAAATATATCTTGTTTAGCGAAATAATTCCAAGTCGTATCTTGTATTTTTTTCTCGAAGGTGTTGGAATGCCTGCGTGGCACCAGTCCGTCAAGTAGTACCACAGACAGCCCAAGGAGAGAGACACCCACAGATGAACTTGAAAGTGGGTATATCGCTCACCCATCTCGCCTCGTGGTTCATTCTTTCCCTTTCTACTTGCATTTTACTTGCAAAATATGCACGACACAAAAGCAATTTGAGTGTCCATCAAGAAAAAAATATTTAAAACCCTTTACAGCCTATTATCAGTAGACATAGTCTCCATGCTGTTCTGTTTACAATTCCTGAGATGCTTACAAGAAGAACTTTCTTCAACAATCAAGAGCCTCTTAAGTTGGTGATCATTTATTTTATTCATAATGTGTGATATCGTAGAGAAGAATTAGACTCAAGTCACTCCGAGGGATTAAAGGGTGAAACGAAACGTAAAATCTTTTTGCTTGAGGTTCGTTACCATGAAAAATTAAATTCAAATGCACGAAAATGTCACTGCCTTCCCTGCCTGCCCTCGGAAGACAACTTGGAATGGTTTCACCCTATTGCTTCCGCAGGCGTTAATCTTTTCTCTCTCTTCTACAGAAAATAATCATTCCAAACTTTCAGAAGTTTCGCTCTCTTGGCAGGAGATTGACAGGTCAATTTATAAAGTATATAGCAGCTGTAGTGTTTATCTCTTTAATTATTACTCTCCAAAAGAATCGCGTTCAATTTATCCTTTCTCAAGGTTGTAACAGGTTTTTTCCCCCTGAATTTGTAACCTCTCCTTACTTTGCGCACTTGTTTCGTTAGTTTGCTGGCAGTGACAAAACCAGGTGGGGAGACTTCAACGCGGTGGAGCGTCCACAACTCGTCCTCGTGTAACGATAGAAAATAAAGGAGGTAATCTCATGATAAATTTTGCTTTTAAATAATCTCTTTCAGATACCAAAGTATGACGGAGCGCGAGAAGACTGATTTCAATCGCGGAGATACAAACAATGAACACTTCTTCAAAAGAAGTACTGCGTCAGTGGTTACGGAGCTGGCGCACAAGAGATTGCGTACCGATAATCAACATGGAATGAATAAACAGACGGGTAGAGGTGAGAAAAGCCATGTGATGAGGCTTAATTTTGGTGTTAGAAAAAATGTGTAAGCGTAGATGATTTCCTTATACCGTGTATTGTCAGTGAGGCAAAAGGACACTGATTCATGTTGACGGTTGATTCGTTTCTTCCAGGCCCAGGAAGTTCTCTTCTCTCGATGTGGAACAGTAAAATGAACGCAATAGCAGCCTCGCGGCACGAGGAATTTGCTGGCAGGCTTCAGTCGACAGGGAACAAAGCCGAGCTTTACTCCAATCCTATGGACAGCGGAAGTAACAGCAGGTAAGGCTTGTACGCGTGTAACTAAGCAAATTCTAAATCTTCCCTTCCGCCTTCCTAGAAGGATTCGAACCCTAAGGTAGCTCCGATTCCGTGGTCGAATGCTTTACCAACTGAGGTGCACAGAACACTTTGGCGAGCCGGGCAATAAAGTACAACCAGCAAAACTAGAACCAATATCGAACAGGTTATTTGTGATTTCCTGCTATTTGAGTTCTCGTTTTTTAGCTGTAGTGGGGTCCAGGGTGAGGGAAGCAGGCCCCTCTTGGACCCGTTGGTTTGTTTACTACTTGTGTGACAGAGAAAATCTTGCAGAAACAGGATCGCATGATACTACAAAGTATTAAATATTTAGAATTTAATTTTCTTGCAATATTTCTTAGTTTGCTTAGGTCGTGGTGCAAAAAAGATCATATGATCTTTAAATCAAAGTTTGGAAGCGGGAGCCCCCCCCCCCCATAATAACTTATGTTCTGCTTATTCGACACAATCGAAACCCGCACTTAATAGTTGAATGTTGTTGTTGTTGTTTTTTTTTTGTTGCGTTAATCTTTCAGTGGCAGAGGCACACCCGTGGAAGAATGGCTGTAGATTGAGATGCCGTAGTGCATAAAGTGAGGCGTGAGGTGTAAGGTTGGAAAAACTTATCTGCATGTACTTCACCTCACGCTTGAAAGAAAAGAACCCCCACGAGTTGACACGCGAGGTCTCAATGTTGCCAGGAAACGACTTACCACAGCCGCTGGCCGAGTAGAGCTCCGAAGGGTTAAAGAACGTTTTGAAATCAACCACGGCCAAAGGCTTTCAATGACAAATTTAACTAGTAAATGGAATTTCTTTACGACACTGTTGTCGTCATTGCCTCCTCTGTTGTAGTGCAAAATTACTATGCAAGGTGCACCTAGAATTTCGTCATCGGTTTAATGTAAATAGAAGCTGATAACTTTTACGAGTTTATGCTACTTTTCTAAGTTGTGTCATTTCAGGAAATGTTTTCCAGCATCAGCATTGATACATTCCTTGCTTGTTTTGTAAGAACAAATGACCTTGAAGTGTTTACCAGCTTGTTTACTGACGTTTGGAAGCGCCGGATTTGTCAAAGACTTGTGCGAGCGGAAAGGCCATTCCTCGGCTATGACTACGAACGGACCATCTTTCCCGTGTTCGTGCTCGAAACGGACTAAATGCACACCTCTGTAACTCTGTATCGGAATAGCTTTTCCGTAAAGAATTGCAGACTTGATGCGAGAATCCCTCCAAGACTCTTTGTCCTTCCTCCAAGTTGAGGATTTCCTTTCCGCGAGATCTTTGCAGGAAGTCAGATGTTTCTGCGACATTAGTTCGCGTTAAAACGAATATTCAGTAGAAATGGCGTTAATTATAATTTCTGTAGCTGTGATAATTCTCCACTGAAACTCAGCAATAAACTTTACTAATTGAGATAAAGCAGCGAGTGAATCTCCAAATTTTTCAGCAGATTACATCGGAGGAAAACCCAGACAGCGCAGTATTGTCTCCCGCGGGTTTCTTTTCACTGTGAATTAAGATAACATCTACTGAAAACGCAACCTTTGCCTTCGCCTTTGATGACAGTTTCCAAGGAAACAAACCCCATAAGACTCCCGTCGGCAAGTGATTTGACAGCAGCTCAGCAGGTGGCGAATTCTCGTGTTTGGACTCATATTTATCTACTTGCGTAGGCGGTTGGATTTGTAATTTGCATGCATATCAAAGAGTCCTCAGTTTGCAGAATCATTGTTTTAATTAAGGAGATGGAAATATTTCATAAGCGATCTCCTGATCTGCCCTTTTCTTTCAGTTGACCCATAACGGCTGTTCGACTGGTTTATTTGGGATTTGTTTCGACCTCTAAACCGAAAAAAACCGATCACTCTTCCCTCGGAAAATTTATTTTGATCACACACGTTTTTGTTTTAGTGACGCCAATATTCCCTTTCCTTTTTTCCAAGAAGAAAGGGTAGTTTAATAAAGCAGATATTTCAAACTGCTTCATAGCTATTAGTACGAAGAATTTCACGGCCGCTGGTGGTGATACAAACTCGTCTGCGATACGATGGTTGCTCTAATGAAGACGAGGTTAGTTGTGGATTTCCACGGTACTATCATTTTCGTGCTTAGCCGTTAGTCTGACAAACCTGAATTGTGTATTGACCTGGTTTCATTTTCCTATGTTTCTCAGAGCCGTGATGTCTAAAACAAAGTCGAAAACTGTGTTACCGTGGTCGTACCTTGTTGCTAAGGTAACGAACCCAAAACATTCAATTTGATCCTAGTGTGAAACGATTTCTCTAATTTAATTGCTATATCACAAAGTATACTATGAAGTACATTGTGTCGGGCCGGCAGTAACAGCGGAGATTCGGATAATATTATTACAGGCGTGCTTCGTTGATATTCCAATGTGGAGATTGAAACATTCAATGGAAATTAAACTTCTACACCCTAACATCAGTATATATTTTCTCCATAATGTTCTCTCTAAATTTCGTTTGGTACTGACAACGAGAATTTGTTTGAAAATCAAGAGCTTCTTTTGTTGGTGATCATTTCCTTTATTCTCATGACCTCAATGTTTGCTTTAGGGGTGATACTGATAGGGGAAAATAGTTATTAATCACACTTACGGGTCAAAGGGTTTAAGAGAGGAAAACGATATTGCAAGGAACGGCGAGTTGCCGAAGACCAATGAATTCTGGTTGAGACGTTTCGGTTTTTTCTTTCTTTCTTTCTTTTTTCGACAATAAAGGAAGGTTAATCTACTGGAAGCTCTTTTAATCCTTGCATCCACTTCGTGTAATACTCTGGCGGTTAATAAAAACCATGTTTTTCCATCTGTTTCGTTTTCCCACCGGCTGAGTGTGCGGGAAAAAAATTGTAGAATTTGAAGCCGCGCCGCAAAACTAAAATTTCTCCCCTAAAAAACTAAAAGAAACAAACCAAAAAAAAAAAAAAAAAAAGATAAAATGGGCTCATTCGTGGGAGAACACATTAAAAAAGACAAACTATCGATAAGGGTTCCACTCAGGACAAGGGTACACTTACTGTAATAAACTTCATGACCAGAACCACACAGTTTTTTTCAGGAATGAGACACTCCATTAGTTACAACAAATCGCTTGTCTGCGCCAATACATAAATTATTCATCATATTTTTGGTTAGGAAACTCCGCGTGCTATCATGTATGTCACAAATCGGTTCCTATACAGCAGCGTAGTATTGTTTACTTTAAAGTAAATTAAATAAACTTCAACGAAAATGTTCGTTGTGTCCAGAGTAAACAAATCGAGGGATTTTAATGTCACTCGGCCACATCCGGGGTACGTCGCCTGTCGTCATTTTCAAACAGTGGAGAGCAAAGGTGACACACGCAGAATCGTTGTTGATTGTGTTGCTATAGTGCGTTTATCTCGTCAGCTTTGCTTGGCACGATCAGCGAGGATTTTTTCCTTCGCCGTTGTTGCATTTGGGAAGTAACTCTTTAGTTGCCCAGGTGAGTGAAACCTATCGGAAAGTAAATGGACTCGACGGATTATGCAAGCATAGCTTAGCTGTGCGAAAGTGAGTCTGGTTCCCGAAATTTAAATTTTAAGCTTTAACACGTCGAAGTCGACGGTGTTCACCTTCGCTATATTTTTTCGAGCATAACATATTTTCTGAAACGTAGTTCTTACATAGATATTCAAAACCTTTAGGCAGTTTTCGCGGTTTTTCCCGACAGACAGCGAAGTACCTTGATACAGAAATTCTCTATTTCTTCTGAGGTTAAAATTGCTGTTTGTAAGTGATAAGAATCTGGTCGAAACAACAGTTCCTTTCGTTTTGAAAGGAAGTCGACGAAACGGGGAAGCAATGGATCAGAGCATGGCTTTTTACGTGGTAATATTTATGTATTGAAGTACCTTCTTCGTTTTGGTTAAAAAGATTTATTCGAGCGCTGTTAACATGAAATGACTTGGCATAATTTCCGTTGCAATCATCTACAGCTCATCAACTTTACGGCAGATGACAGATTAACGACAAGGATTTATTTTTAACATTAACATGTGACCTGAAAATCCAAATTTCCGAATTTGACACCACATTTCCTTACGTGTAAAAAAGAATTTACATTTTGGTGAAATAATTACAGTAAAGGCCTTTCGTTGTTTTGTCTTTTTAATCCCTAAGTTTATTTTTGCTAGTAATTGCCACTCTTTGTGTTCTCGCGGCTTTAAGTTATTCCTTTTCAATTTGACAGTGATTTGCTTGGATAAATATGACGAATATTTTTCTGTCAATCTTACAGTATTGTATCCTTGAAGTTAAAACGTATTCGTGATATCTGAATAATTTTTGGGTTTATTTAGTGATTCCGAAAAACCGAACAGGCTGTCGCATTTTAAAACGTAATTTTCTTGAACCAGCCTGAGCTCAAGGATTAGAAAAACAGATTGACTGATGTATTTTTTGAAAAGATATTTTTGTCCTGTTTGACTCGCTTTTTTCTGTTAGGAAGCAGACAAACTCTTTGAAAATCAATTATAAAATATTGTATCAATTTCGATCATGTGTTCCCATGGCGATGAGAGAGGGGTATATTTAAACGATGAATCAATTAAATTTTAAGGGGTCAAGCCAGGCTTATGTGATTCTAGAGAAAAGAAAAAATAATTCAATAAATTTAAGTGTATATCACGATTGTCATGCACCTCTTTTGTGTGTGTTGCCTGGAGTGTCATGAAGTTTTTCACTATTTTTTACACAGAAACGTAGTTGTGTCTGTGGAATGACCCATTTGGCTCCCTGTTTTGCACTTAAAACTAACAGCAACCCTTTGTCTTGTCGTCACGGAACGATTACGTAGAGGAATATTTGGACGCCAACGAATTGCGCAATAAAGCTGATGCGTAACTTTCCAAACACTGACACAACAACTCTACCACGCATCTCGCAAATCGACTGTTTACCTCAGAATCGCTTGAATCCGGACGAGTTTGAACAGAAACGAAGAGCAGATAAGGTAGGAGAACACGAAACTCACATCATGGCTCAAACAGCGGCCTTGAAAGAACAGAGCTTTGGGCGCCGTGGTAAACGGACGAATTATACGTCGGGGATCTTGCCTCCCATTTCGCAGATTTCCATGGGGGGAAGACAACTCCCGGCGGAAGCGAGTGCAAGGGAAGAAGGCTTGAAGCTTCCTCCGATTTCCCAAGTGGCTTGTCTCGGGGGTTATCTCGATGAAAAACAGCTTGTGATGAAACAGTCAAAGTCTAGAATCAGAGACAGCGATTCTGAGTTTGTAAGACTGTCTAAAGCTGGTGGTCAGAAAAACCTCCTGTGCTACACAGAGGCAGATTCTTCGCCGCGCGAGGACGCAACGAACGCGAACACATTTCCACGCTCCACTCGTTACCATCCCGGGTTCACTTCAGAGGCAGACCCAAGATGGCGCCCATCTCATTGGTCGGACTTTTCGCGACAGAAGCAAGCGAGAAGTGATCATAAATTGATATGGAGGTAGATTGGCATGATGGCTGAGCCATTCACGGGCAAAGACTGAAAAGATATTGCTTATTCATGGGTTAAGCTTATTTTAAAATGTACAGAGTATAAAGTGTGAACCGGGTATGATACGTAGTAAATGGTAACATGTTAGGGGAATAGCTGCCATTTTTCTGATTTGTAGCCGAACGGACACATTTAATCTAGAAAAGGTATTTGATGAACTCCCTTGCTTTAAAAGCTGTTGAAAGTTATAAAAATAGCTGAATTTATCGTTCTTGTGTAAATAGGAGATTATGAAGCAAACTGTCCCAGTCGTTTACCAAACGAAATTAAACGCTCATTTTATGCGTCAACCTTGAGTACTCCTTTGCTTTTACATTTTTTTTTCTAGTTCTCTTATCCTGTCTGTTTTTCTTTTTTCTCAATTTACAGTACATTGTTTTCTTTCAAACGAATCAACTAGCTTATTTAAAACATGAGAAAGTGAAACAACGCCAGGGTATTTCGGTAACTTGCTTCGTTTTACTGCTAATCCACAGAATGACATAGTGTTGTAAAGACTCGGTGAGATCAGTACATAAACGGGATTTAATTAACTCAGGATTAAAAGGTTACAGGATTCACATATTTTCGTGAGAAAGCAAACAGTTGTTGATCTCCTGTTGACAAAAGATTATTCCCATTATATAAACCGCAACCAATTTCTCAGTGAGTTCACTTACTTTTGGAAATGCCATCGAATTTCTTCATTTCTTAATGAGTGCGTGAAGGATAACGAAATGGATAGAGTTAAAGTGAATTAAATTATTGGTAGAGCCCATCTCCATCGAGTTCGTTGAAAGCTAAGCCAGATTGATCTTAGCAGCCAATCAGAGCATAGGTGAATACCACCAAGGAGCTATTGAGATTTCAGGCGAGCAAGGAACCTGCGTACAGCGCGGGAAAACGCGACTGAACAAGGTTCCCTGGTTTCAGTTTTGCGTCCGATTGCTGAAGCAAGGAGGAGCGAGTTTTTTAGATCAGTAACAGGAGGGAAATGAAACAATATCAGCAAATATGCGATCCCAGATTATATTTGACACTCAATGCTGGAAATTGCTTTATGAGTTCGTTGGTTACTTTAGCGCGGAGGATTAGTTATAGTAGTCCAAGTCGGTGTGTAATCATACGAGTGATTTACACTTACACATCCAAGACACGTACACTGTTTTATAAGTGCTAAAAAACAATCTCGTTCGAGAATTTTATCGCAGTTTTGATTAGCCTCATTTATTGGCTCAGATCGTGATCTCTGATCAACAAATTAGCGCACCAATTACTTTTTATGCATGTTGTTATCGATCCAATTCCACACCAGTTTTTCGTACGAGGCTGCAAGCTGCTAAACTGCGTCATAATTCAATAATGAATACTAACGCCAGTAATTGAAGAACACGACCTCGCGCCGCAGAACTCTGATAAAATTCATTAAGGAAACAACGACAAATGATGAGCCAAAGCTAGACTTCAAACGAGTAAGTTCCGTTAAATTTATTATCTCTCGTTAAAACGACTCCAAACTACGATAAGAACATTTTGTTTTCGACTCGTGCGCTTTGTTTGTAACAACCGAGAGCATGATTCCAAAACTTTGTTATACCTAATCATCAAAGTGTGTTTCTTATATGTTGATTTTATCTGTTTATCTCTCACTTTTAAATCAAGTGCTAATGAGTAGCGAAGATGGATTTTTTCTGTTTGTTTTCGCCCTAATTTGAATCGTACTCGTTTTCGTTTAACATCCATCCGTCCGCGCAAGAATATAGTTTTGACTACAGCTGCAAGTTTCAAGCTACTAAACTCTCTCGTGAAAGAATTGTTTATAAAAGTTTTCGACGTCCTACAATTACGGTGGACAATTCCCTTTCTCATTAGCTGGTAGAGAGATAAACAATACTCATTAAAAATCCTTTGATGTAATTTTTTTGTTCAAATGTTTAAAATTGTGAAAAAGCTTTCAACTTGACGCACCATCGAGGATTAATTTTCATTCTGTTAGTGAATCACTTTCGTTCAGATTGTATGGAAAGACTCGTGAAGTATAGCCTGGAGGCTTTTTAAGTAATATGGCCAAGCCCTTTTACAAGCCTTTGGACAGGCCAGAGAGGGAAGAAATTTGGTACTGTTATTACGTTCCTCGTCAAAAGCCAGACTCAAAACCAATTCAGCGTGTTCCTATTTCACAAGTGCCGGACCTGACTAACGAGACAACCAGGCTAGTTACTGAAAACAAATATCGAAATGTGGGCAGAGTTTTGGAAACTGATTCAAAGTACGTGAAGTTAGCCAAAACTGGCGGGCGAAAGAACCTGTTATGTTATAAAGAAAACGAACGCGAAAACAGCGGGCCTAAAAGATACGAAGTAGCCGCGTGGTATTACCACGATAGTGACATGGACAAAGAAAAAGAACTCAGTGAAGAGGAGAGGCATAAGAGATACAGCGTTACGTATGGGAAACGGTGTTATAAGATTTCTCAACTTGAAAAACCCATTGTATATCAGCGTCCGGATTATATGACGCATTTGGAATCAGAGGAGTTGATCATGTCGCTGGGCGCATCACATCGCATTCCAGATCGCCCGATCTTCGGCTTCGACAGGTTGTCGTTTTGGAAGCGAGACGAAGAGGAAAAGTCGAACAAGCTGCCTCCTTTGGTGGTAAACGAGAATGCGAGGGAAAAATCTGCGCAGCTGGGCTCTCCCAAAAAGTTTGTACCAACGAAGAAGAAGGTGAAGTTGCCAAAGTCCTCTAAGAAATCTCAGTTGCCCAACAATAGAAAATTGTTCAGTTCAGGTTATGCTACAGAATGGCATGAAAAGTGGTACGTGAAGGCCTTAAAGAAATGATTATTCGACCGCTAAGACTGGGGCTACGGAACAAACAGACAAAGTCAAGGTTTTGTTATCATAGCGAGTGACTATTGCAAAGCTAATTAATGAACAGTCAGAGAATTCCAGCGAAGATTCATTCAGAGTATTAACCGGAAAGTTAAGTACTGAGAAAGAAGTTTCGAAAAATTGACTTAAATAAGAAACTTCGTCCCATCACTTTACAAATTTGTAGACTTTTGTGAAAACAGTTCTCTCGCGTTTAGTGTGGGGTACTTTGTGTTAATTTAATTTCATATCGGGTTTAATATGTTGTATAAATAGTCCATTGTAAAAAGTTTTTGTCGAACTTAAGAAAAATGTTTAGCTTACATGTACCAGTTCAAGATAAGCAAATATTCCATCAATAAGATTTAAAAAATATGAACGTCATGCAAAAATCCTAAAAGCCCTGTCTATCAAATGTTACGAGATTATTTAGATTTCTCTTGAGTTTGAGACATTTCCTTGTGGAATAACATTATTTTAACCTGCATGGTATTGTGCAGTTGTACCTAAAAGAACCGAGAAACTGGCAAAACGATCACCAGGAACGAACAAAATAGAACCTCTTTGTCAATATGATAAGTTGTTTCACTAAAGCCACCTAAAAACAAACAAGAAGGAATGAGAGCGTGCAAAAAATTTTTGATGTTATTGAACATTATCAGGTACAATTGTTTATCGTCGATGCCTCCTGTCGCATTCCAATGATACAAGATCATACAAGTAACTCTGACTCGCAGTGCGCCTTTTATTTCAAATGTGTGGCGCAATAATAAAGGCACCGGTCAAGAACGCGAGATATTTGTCATTTGCCATTAATTAAACCGAGGAAAAATCGGCGACTCATCGACTACATTCCAGACCATCCGAGAATTCCGACCGCACTCGATGTGGCCTCGACGTACGTGACACGGTGTAATTAGAAAAACAAGTAAACGTGTTTAGAACAATTTTACGAGTCTTGTCACGGGCGTGGGGCGAAGGAAAAAATTGTTAGTTCCCATTGAGAGTCGAACCCCAAACCCTCAGATTCCGCGCTTAATTTCAGCTACCACTGAACAAAAGCTGCAGTGAGACAGAACTTTAGTTGGTCCATGAGACATGACCGTTTTATTTGAAGTAAACATGTTTTCTTTCAGTGTTTACGTGACAAGCTTGAAATTCTTTTGATATTATATGTACACCTTGAATAGATAAGGCCTTGGCCTTTTCAAAGTAGTAAGAATGTTTATTGCTGAAATCAGTGACCTAGAGAACGAGGCCAATGAACTATATCACAATCACTATTTTCCACTTTGCCTGAGCGATCGAGCACTTTTAAATGTCGAAGCCGAATCGATAACTCTTCCGTTAACTTCACTTCAATCATTAGACCAGAAACAAATTTGCATTTATCGCAACATTCTCAAACTTCGGACGACAATTAAAAAAAACATGTTTCAACAGTTGAACCTTCCTCAACTGCACTCGGTTACCATAAATATTACCTCGAACTCACGAACTTCAAGCTATTTCCTTTGAAGAGTATTTTTTTTACAAACTCGCCTTTTTCTCTCAATAAAATTTCTCATGTCCCTTAGAAGGTCTACTATTGTAGGCGTTACGGTGTGATAGGGCCACAAAATGAAAACACTAGCACTGTTACTCCTACTCTTGAAATTTGCGTTAATCAGAATTAACTTGTTTGCATGCGGGTTGGTAATTTGTAGTCGTAGGTGGTAGGAACTTAGTTGCTAAGTAGTCCTCATAATACTTTACCTCTAAAAATATCGCATTTTTACGTAGTAAACTCGGTTTGCCCGTAATACTAATATTAATTTCACAACTTGTATCTTCTGATATTGAACCACATTTGTCTTCGTTTGCGTCCGAAATGACTCTTTCGGGCGCGGTCGACATAACTCGCCTACAGTAAGACAATTGTATCCGCCTTTTACTTGACTGTGTTCATCACAAGAAGCAAGTTATATTGGCCCTTTCTCAATAATGATACCAACAGTTCTGTGCCTTTTTCACGCGTTTATTCAATGATTCCTTTTCTAATCTTCCCTAAGTGACGAGTGGACTTTAGAAGCAAATTATTGTTTCTTAATTAACATCTTGTTGCACAAATATCCCGAGAATTCAACAAAAACGACAGGCAAAAATAGTCTATCAATGGAAAGCGCTAATATATGAACCTCGTGTTGTTTCCAGAGGTATCCGAAACCTGCAATGGTTAGAGAGACAAGATCAATTTTTCAAACCACTAGTATCAATAACATTTCTCGGTTCCTTTCTAGTTTCGCCAGAGAATATCATATGAAACCGACCTTCAATCTCAAAAGTTCGTTCCACGATCGATCACTATATCACAATATAAACATGAATTTAACGAAAAACTTATCGGGTCGAGACTTTTTAAGTCTTTTAATAAACCTTGAAAAATATCGGAAAAGGATGAAACAAGTCCTACGTAGCAGCTGAGTTTTCATTCATGTCTCCATTCTGTTTAACTTGCATCCTCGCGTGATCTCTGGCCGCGGGATCAGTTTCAGTCTTCAGTAAAATTCAATATTTAACTTGGCGACGACTTCGCCAAGAGTAGTGATGATATTGTTATGTGATACATGTTTATATCGCACCAATTTGCTTGATCTCTCGAAAATCGATTAGTTCAAATGCATTATATGAATGACTTTCAAAGCAATTAAGCCTCACAACGGCACCTGCGATATGAATCTTGTGGAAGTATTGAAATAGTGGAAATCATGAGCGGAGATTAATTTCTAACTTCGTGCTAACATTACGCATAAGTTGTTTCCTTTCAAGGCGTCGCAGTATGAAAACTTGTCACTGGCACTGAATCAATTCACGCCCAACAGATATTGAACTCAAAGTTAAGTTGGAGTTAATCTCAATTATATATAATCATTTGACGCAGGAAATAAAAAAGGTTTCTATGTACATGAAACTCGAATACAGTATAGAAACTAGATCAAGAGAATGAGTCGTAGTTATGAATCTCGAGTCCCTGACCCTACCTAAGTTTCGACGAACAAAAAAAATCAGTTTTAGGTCTAATCGTTCACATATAAGTTTTGGCGGCACAAACATGGACGTCAAATTCTCTAAATTAACCGCGACTTTTTCTTCCAAATCAGCGTTTAAGCCTTACATTGCCTCATAACTGAAGTATTTCAAATAAAAGCAGTCGATTTAAAATATACAGTACAGTAATTTTAGTTTCGTCTCAGCTACAAATTCGAATAAATATCTAATCATGTTTGATTGAACAAGCCTTATTTTGAGACATAATGAAGCGAAAAACCTGATCAGATTTCAGCTGGAGAAAGAAGGAAGTAATTTGTGACGTATTTAAATTCAAACTTTCTGTTTAGATATATCTTAATCAAGTTCGTAACTTTTTTTAAGGTTTTGATTCAGCCCTGTTCCTTCCCGGGTGTGTCCCAAACATTGGACAGCAACAAATTTCTGTAAATAGCAATTCTTTTTTTAAGTTTTATTAGGACAAATACAAGTTAGAACGTACCTTCCAGCTGTATTCTAGTGTTTACTTTCAAAGCAATTACGTCGAAATGATCTCAGACCATTTCACGCAAAGAAAAGAAACAACGTAAATTGAAGTGGTTTTATTAATTACAATATTCGATTATTTGTCTCTTTTTGCGTTTTCACACGTACGCACAAGATCAACAAAGACCAAAACATTATATCAGCATCTAAACAAGGCTATGTGTTCCCAAAAAAGCATGTCCAATTAAATATTTTTACGATATTGGTCACAGTAATATCAGAAAGTTAACCCACTTCCGGTAAAAGCGACAATTTTTGGGGGATTTGTTTGCGCAACGCCTGCCAAAACAAGCCACGATTCACGCTAAATTTGGCCTAACACGCTTTGGAATTCAATAAGAATAAGAAGAGATTTTCATTACGCCTTGTGATTTTCAACTTCTTTGAAAGATTAGAACATTTCTGGAAACGACGCGAAAAATGTGTTAGGGTAACGCAAGGCACATAGAACATGTTTTGTCACGTAGTAACATGTCTTCTCCATGGTAACGCCAACGTCACGAAACGGAAAGTAGAATAAGAACAGAAAAAAACAAGGAAAAATTTTCCGCTTTACTGGTTTATTTGTAGGATCATTACGTCATTTCCTATTGTGAGAAATAAAAGGCAGTCTACATGCATACGTTTTCATATTGGCTGCATTCCCTTGCGTTAATCTGATCAGAGTTGTGTTTATAAAAATTCTGCGAAAGTAACTCGTCCGTTCAGAGAGGAAACTCAAGGAAATATGAACGAAAACATGTCTGCAACCAAGACTGGTTATTTATCGCTGACTACTGACAAAAACCCAAGCCGTCAAGTCAGACTTATGGCTGAGGCGTATACGAACGTGTCAGACCCGTTCATCGTATTCTACACAGATTCGTCATTCGTTGGGAGAAAAGCTCGCGCGTTTCTGCGATTTAAGTCCTGTGCTCTGACAGAAAACGACGAGACATCTTTTACTCTGATTCCGCACGGAGAGCGAATCGGTTCTTCTGCAGGATTTTTATGCTTCAGGGCCGAGACGTCTGAAGAGAAACAAGAGTGGTTGAGAGTTTTTAAAGACAATCAGCCTGAGAACGAAAGAACTGCAGTGAAAACGAAAAGAAGGAAAATAAGTTCACGAATGTTGCCTGTAATTCAGGAAAGCTACTCTGAGGAGATCGCTGTGGTTGAGCAGAGAAGATCTAGTTTAATTCCAGTATAAATGGAACAAAATATTTTACGCGCCACAATAACGATCGTGGCAAAGAGGATCGTGCCTCCAGAGACAAGGAATTTACTTCATTTATTATGAAAAAACACACACACGAATCATTGACTCTGGGAGGCCGAGCGAAACTCTGCCTCATGTAAATGTAGTATTTTCAGACATCAAAGAACACGAGATGTAAACTTTCCAGAAAGATCACGAAGATTCTCCTGATAGGAGAAGAAATAGGACTGTAATTTTTAAATAGTTCAAAATTTACGCGCCTGAAATAGGCGAAGATTAACTTTATCGAGTGGGGTGACTCAGCGCAAAGGTTCGAAAATCGTATAATATGTGCTAATTTTTTGGCAAGCTGATGATAGCTGTTGGAATTCGGACGTGACTTTCATGCAAAGAGAGTCTATTGAGCCGACAATGGGGTCAGCCAGCAGTAACGTAATACATAAGAGACGATTGTAAGTAATTTGGTTATCGCCCACGCTAACATGAATCGACTAGTACGTCACGCGATTGATTTCAAGAGAGCATGCTTTTAAAGTTTGAATGCTTTGTAAATACTTCGATGTCTCATTTGATAATAAAAATGTTAATAGACGAAACATTGAAGAAGAAGATTACGTTTTGAGTAGTTTCAGTTTGCAATGAAATTGCTATCAATTATTAAAATTTGGACGTGGGAGGGTGCGTGAGTGTGTTTGGTTTTTTTGTTTTTTTGTCTTTTAATTTAAGTCATCTAGGAAAACACAGATAGGAGAGGTTATTGGCGACGTAACCAAACAAAGTCACTGGTGGATTTACGTGGGGTTTTTAATTGCGACAAGTGTTAATTCAATGAGCAAACAAGAAAAACGTGAGACACATTCATCCTATTTAATGAAGCGGGAAAAAATTAGTCTCCTTAGCTAACTTATGGGTAAAAAGATTACGTGAGTTTAATCAAAGTTGAAAACCTGTTTCTCTTGGAAAGAGTAAAGTCGACACGAGAATACACCGTATGCGTCAGTGAAATGTATTTTCATATTCATTGGAGCGGGGAAATAAACTGTAATTTGAAAGTTCCCCAATTTTAATTGAAAACCTTCTTTCCCTTTCCGCATTTATTACCGTGTTTGACGCAGGTTCGTAACAAAGTACATTAAAAGGTTTTGTTTTTGAGACCTAATTTGCACTTATTTTGAATTTGAATTGACGCATTACGCCTCTACGTTGAATACATCTCACGCATCTGGTTTGTGAGAGGTTACTCGTACGGCGAAAATAATACACACCAAATAGCATGAAAACAGCTGATTTTATTTTTCACTTTTGAATCGTAAGTGTTTCAACTGAAGGCTTTTATTCTCATTAAGATATATATCATAGGATGCGTGGGGAAAGCAAATTCAAAATATTCCACAGGAAGATAGGAAAAAAGCAAATTCATCACAGAAATAATTATTGCATAGAAATTGTGTCGTGCTATCACGTTTAATAGCAAACGTTTTCTTACTAAATGGTTATCGTCAGAACGGTTGGTTTGTTGCTTGAAATATGTCTGAAGACATTTTAAGATATTCATTCAAACAAACATGCTAACGAAAGCTCGAAATAAAGAGAAACTGAAAACTGCCAGTTTATAAAACGTATTTGTTCGAAGTTCAGTTCTGTTGTAATAAAATTATTGTTTCGAAAAACTAGGAGTCAAGGCAAGTTCATTAGTACATAAGAAAAATGTAATTTTAATTTTGGCGAACAGATTCTTTCATCCTTAAATCTCCCTATTTATTCTTAGTTGTTGTTCCCTGATTTACAAGAAAAGTAGACGCGTTTCGACATGGGAACTGACGTGACTATGACCTTTTACAGGAAATAACAAGTTATCACCTGTCAACTAAACCCACACGCTTCAGTCTTCTGACAACTGCACACAGATCCACAGTTCATGCTGTGAGTCCCTAACAGCAAGAAGTGCACACACTGTTCTCTACAAATTGCCTTAAACACTTTGTTTATTTCCGGAATATTGAAAAGTTAAAGGCAGATTTTAAGTTTTATCATTTACACGTCTTCGAATTGCGTGCGTTTTTCCGTTTAAAAAATCAAAGAGTGCAGACCACGAGGACTTGACGAGCAAGAAATATGAGCCAGACTTCCTCGATAAAGTGCAAAGGTTGCTTGTATTCACAAGACCCTCACGCTCATGACTTACCATCAGTTCTAAAAAAATATCATCAGCAATCACTTTCTGACTGCACATAAGATATCAGATCGATACGGTAAAAACAGCAACAACAACGACCACCTTAAAAACTCCAGTGCTCGATAATACCCCTCTTCTTCTCGCGTGTGCGCGCATTGACATTTTTGTCAGGGTCATGGGTATGATCACACGGCGGCAAGGTAGGGGACCACGACCGCGACGGGCAACGAGGACGTGACGATGCAAAAGAACTAATTGGCAGAACGATAGCTTAGCACGTGCGTTATTAAACTTTGAACATTTCTTAGCCGGCATCCTGGCACAAAAAAATCAAACAAACAAACAACGACGTGAAATCATCAAAATTTGCTTGGTTTGAAAACGGAAACCTCGATGGCAATTTATTTCGTCTCCATTTGGAACTCAACACCGCTGACATGTGTTATGCTGAAGTTGAAGTGTGGCGGCATAAGGGACGGTAAACAACAACCGGCCATTCATGAAAAATTTCATTTTCTCCATGGATAATTATTTTTGTGTTGAACCTCAGGGCCAACATGTAGAAAAGTGTGCTGGTCTGGAATCCTGCTCGGTTACATGCGTGATCCCGGATCGTATGGGGCGCGGTCCCAGATGGGTCAAATCTCGTCAAAATGCAGCTTTTGTTTAGACCTGATTCTAAATACTTTGTCAATGAATGTAACTGAATGAGGTCGTTTTGCCGCAGTTTATAGCAATTTATATGATAAGCTGTATCACACAGGCATTTTGATTGGTTCTTACTGAGAGAAATATCAACTGAAATTCTCTCGTTCTTACTTATGATCTGTTGAAGGATAACCGCTTGGATGACGTCGCCATAACAAAATCTTCTGCTTCTTTATTATATAAAACAAGCAGATTCCATGTTGCCGCGGGTCTGCACAGTAGAAGGTCACAGCAGATTTTAAAAATGTGGAAAGAACATCAATGACACATTTTCCTGGTCCTTCTGTGCCACTATTTTGTTCTTCACTCATTTTGACGCCATCTGTGATCTATTACTGAACAGACGCTCGGCAACGTGGAATCTACCTATCAATTTTCATGAAATTTCATATGGTGGTGGGATGAATGAATTTTGTCTTACAAAGGATCAAACCTCTCCGAAGTCACCCCCCATCCTTCCCAGGTGCTACCCCCCTCGTTGGAGGCAGATGCCAACCATGTGTAGATCGTGGATCAATTACGCAACAAAAAGCACCGATAACTTTGACAGCGAGGAGGAAATTGGTGCTTGTTATGTTTAATTGGATGCAAAGGATTATCGAGGTTTTCTACAGCAGAATCGTGTACAGTACATCAAGATAATTTGCAGACCACACGCAATTTACTGCCACAAAAAGCTTGCTGCGTAACGGTGATTGAAAGAGAATCAGTCGAAACTTTCTTTTGAAACATGTCGTTAATCATTTCATTGCCTAAACTACTCTTGGGGCGGTAAGCCCAGTCTGTTTCGTAACACTCGAGACATCGCATTTTCCAGATTTTCAGCTATTATTTGCAGACTCAGTTGAATAAATGGCAAAACAATTTCAATTTCGAGGAGCTGGGGAGAAAAAAGATCGTGAATCTCTTAATTTGCCCATTTTTACAAAGATGTGAGTATCATTGATCAGCGATTTGACCATGGCCAGGTGGCAAAGGAGACTCGAACTCCTTTGCTGAAATGAAAAGGATGCCAGTGGAATTGTGCACGCCATTCTCGGCCTAGAAATTGCGAAAACTTACAAAAACACCTCGAGGTATCTTGTGATGGTTTGGCTACTGGAATGCTTTGATCAAAGGATATTGGGGAACTCTCAAATTCGGAGAAAAAACGGGCCTTGAATTCCTTCATTTTGGCCCTCTCGTGACGACAAGAGACCTAAGGGGAAAATCTCGCTCTTTCCAACACGGCCGAATTATTGACAAGAGAGGTTTATCATCTAAAGTGAAGAAAGGGAGGCTTAGTGTAACAGAGAGGGTCAAAGAAAGGAGGCCGTTTTGATACACTATTGACATCGCGGCAAACAACAGAAAAAACATACCCCACACAAAGGATTGCCGATCGAGTCTTTTAGCTGATGAGATAAAATCTCTTAGCTTTGCAACAAACAGCGGAAGATTCCCAGATTCAAAGAGGTGCATAAAAAACAACAATGAGAAGAAGAACACCATACAGACTTAAATGTTTTACTGTCCATCTAAAGCATATCCAGTTTCCGGTCCGTTTTTTAGATGGATGTCCTCAGCTCTGTAACGCCCTGAGAGTCACTAACTTTCAACTCCTGGAGTAGAAATACCGCGTACTATGGACTCAACCCAGGCTCGTTTATGTGATTTCCGTAGAAGCTGGTGTTTTTGCGGGGACAATTTGCTCTTTCAGTAAGCGTGTTTTTTCCTTATCACACCTTGATTATTATCACCAGTTTACTCTGTATCTCTGTGTGGAGTGCCGCATCATCTGACAATCTGACATCATTAGAGCAGATTTCACAGTGATTTCATCGAGGATAGGGCGGTTTTTCGTTTCCAGCCGTGACCAACGCGCGCGGATAAGCTCCAGTTATTTATACCTTCGGTGGGTGTCAGTAAATACTGTCTAGCCCATCCGCCTTCTTTACTTCAGCTTAACGCGACGAAAATTTGACAAAACCCCATAACCTTAAGGTATTTCTTTACAGACAAGGATAAAAAGTGGTATGTTCACCGTTTTACTCTAAGCGACAAGGAATTTAGCTTTATTTAGGGATTATTGTCGAATGTGTGTAACGATATAGTTAAATAAGTGCTAATTCTATTATCGTTCTCCAAAGCACTTTTCGCAGTGAATTTACTTAATGGTTTGTCACAGGCGGAAGGTAAAAATAATTTGTCGTAGACAGTTTTACTAAAATCAAAAGGGCATTTTTCGGTTTCATTTTGGAACAATGAAGACAAAGAAGCTTAATAGCAGAAAGTTACACGTACATTCCGCAGCATCTTTCCAAATGAACTAAAGCTTCAGTTTCTAGCATTTCATGTTCTTGTGTAATTACAACACGATCAAATTTTATGTTTGTCAAACAGTTTTACGGTACGGGTAACAAGTCTAACAAATTCAGTCGAGAACAGGAAATGTTCATTGTTTGATACCCTCGTGTGATTTCCGGTTGATTTATTATTGAACAAAACAGAAGTCAAAATGACATTGACTGACATGCAGCCTTTCTGATGTGTCTTGCTTGCTTTCAATGGGTTTCACTTTAGGTTGTTTCAACCAACTGTGGCTGCCTAATACTATTTTGCTGTGATTTTTTAGGAGATTCTCTTAACAGGTAAGTCA